GGAACATTATGAAATGTGGTGAAACTGAATGAGACCTGCTTAAGGTTCAAAGAGCAATTAGGGTCGACTGTTGCTTATTTAATAGCTATTGCTGACTCCAAGTTAACTAATCATTTCCATTTGATAAGCCAAAATGAGATGCCCTAGCTAAAGGAGTTTCTTCACTAATCCAGCAGCTGAGTCCCTCCCTTTTGTAATCGAGAGAATGTTAGTCTAAATGGCATTGAACAATGAACAGATTTCCCTTTGACAGCGCTTCAAAGTTGAGGAAATTAGATTTAAAAGTATGCATAACATAACTGATATGTACTGCTGTGGCAGAGCTGTCAGAGGATTAGTCATGCACTGGGAACTCTGTAGCCTCTAAGAATAAAACAGGCCTGGTGGTGCCAAAGTGTGTTTGTTCAAGAAGAGCTAGTCTAGAAACACTAAAGGTCTGCCAAGATTATATTACAAAAGTTTTATTGTGCAAAAGTCATAAGACAAAGGATTTTAAACTGCTGAGTTTCCGGGGGTCAAAATGACCAATAACCACAGCAACTACATCCCTGGCTACTAGCATCCCAACCTTAATAGTGGCATCCCCTTCTCTGTGCTTATATATCATCATCCACCTGCTTACGGAACACCTCTTGAAAAGCTACTCTTCACTTTGGCACTAGTGTTTTATTCCACATGTGCATACCCTGAGTCAGATCTCCAATTAATATGTACCTGTTCACACAGCTGCTTGTTTCTATGGTAAGTTCCAGTATAGTTTTAAACAGTATGCAGTAGGTTTTCCAGAAAGAGATCTGATTATTGTCTCTTTTAATCCTAGGTCTTCATGTTAAAGAGATTTCACTATGCCCATGTCTTTAAAGTCTCAGTGGATTTATTGTGTAATCATTCTTTATTGCAATAGCTGAGCACTTGTAAAAGGCAGAGGTGCTGGCGGGGGGGACAAACAGGTTCTATTTAGATTGTCTTTCTGACTCATTATTGTTGCTTTCAGTGTGCAACATTAAAGAGATAAGAATCATCTTCAGGAGATCCTGTCATGGCTACCTTAAAGCAAATAGCTAGTAGTACAGCAGTTAGTTGTCCATCTCTAATAGTGACTATTGTAGCAGTGCATGTGAATGCATTAACACAAATTGTCGTTTCTGAAGGTTTGTTTTGGAATCATGCTAAAGACCCATGTAATTTAGCAATTTAAAGTCGAGTGGATGTAGTGCTAACAGCAACTGAGGTCTATTCTATCCTTCACTGCTTTTTGAGGTGGAATATTACTCAGCTGCAAATGTTTTTCCGATATTCTGCTTAAGACCACTTAAGTGGAGTAAAAATGAGTATGCTCCAGGTGAGTTTGTTGTATCAGTTGAGAACACCTCATGGCCTGTGTTGAGCAGTAAAACCTAATTTATATTCTGTCTGTTTTCCTTTCAAAAAATGTCCGAGTGAGTGCAAATGTAGTGAGAAGTAATCCCCGTTGTTGTGTAAGAAATGTGTAACAAAGTCACAGTTACAGTGTGAACCCTGATAATCCAAAACGCTGGCAAAACATTGTAGTTATAATAATGCTAAAGGATAGAAATCCTACAAACACAATAGTAAGTGCACCGTTAGTTTTAAACCAGTATATTGGGCTTATCTGGTTCTTCATTTGGTGCATGATACAGAAAACATGTTCCTTTACTGCTGGTATTCAGACAGCTTTGCCCTGCAATCAATATAGCTTTCCTTCCTTTGCTGAGGCCAGCATGCTGACGTCTTTCACAAAGCAGCTGCTTGAGAGCCTCAGATCAATTGGCCAAATGCATTGGGAATCTTCAAAGGCCACCAGCAGCAGGAATTGTCAGGGTAAATATGGCCGGAGAGAAATGGAAATGGGTATGCTGAGACTTCTCAATCTTCTCTCTTACATCTTCCAGATTTCTACTAATACTAATAGTCAAGTAGACTAATAGTCTACTAATAGTCAGATGGCATCTCATCTGCCATTTCAAGGTAATAAGAAGGGGTTAGCATCACATCATTTCTGGGGTCATGGTTTCAGTTCCGGACTAGGGCCGCTATCTGCGTGGCAATTGTATATTCTTCCCATGTTCATGTGGGTTTCCTCCTCAAGTCCAAAGACACACTGGTAGTGTAGGTTAATTGGCTTCTGGGAAAACTGGCCCATTGTGTGAGTCTGTGTTTGACCTGTGATGGACTGGTGTGCTGTCCAGGCTGTATCCTGCCTTGTGTCTGTTTTTCTGTGGGGATAGTCCCTGGCTCCCCTGCAACCCCAAATTGGATGAATCTGTTAGAAAATGCATGGATGGATGGAAGGAAGAAAGAATCACCAATCGTGTCTATTTATCTGGACATATTGATGGTGAGCAAAATGAACACTCAGACATATAGGCCTGATTTTCAGGCCCTTGCTAAAAAGCTAAAGCTTTGAAACTTGAATCTTTCTGT